GGCATAAATGAGATGCAGGAGCTGGAAGTAGACAAATTCAGACTCTAATGAAGCCAGGACAGGTTTTACTTCCGATGGGTGCTTGGGTACTCCAGCAGAAGGTGCTTGTTTGGCAAAGGGTGTTGTTTGATGGCATCTATGGCTCATGTCAAGTGGTGCCAAACCAGTCCCTCCTGGCCAGCAGGAAAGTGGGAACTCCCATGCTGCTGGAGTCAAGGCAACTGCAGCACCCTGTGCTTTATGGACAACACAGCCACCCTGCTGAACTCTGCTGCACAGAAGTGCTACTGTGAGCTTGGGAGGAAGGGACTGAAGACCTGGAGCCATGAAAGATGAGTATCTCCGGCTCTTTTCCTGCATTTGGAAGCAGGTACAGACAGACCTGAGCTGCCCTGCCCCAGCTCCCAGGAGAGCACATTCGGTCAGTGTTGCCCATCCTGAAAGGCACTCACTTCTTCCCTCAGGAGCTGCCCTGCATTCCCCAGTGCCAGGCAGAACACCACGCTGGGCAGCATGAAATGCAGTTCTGGGCTGCCTCCAGATCAAAGCAGGCTCCTGCCACACCAGCCCAGAGCATGGCCAGCAAACCTCTGCTGTCTGCACACACCTGCCCAAGCAGGTCTTAGATCAGTTATAATCTATCTGGGCTTCTGCTTTAGTTCTATCTGACTGCCACAGTCTTTACAAGGGCTTTTTGATTTCTTGTGTGTAGAGGCAGAAGAGGCATGGCTACACACTTTCCTGAAGAATGAGGCGTGTGTGAGCTGAAACTATTTGTTTTGTTGCCCTTGAAGATGAGTCCTCACCCACAGCGGCTTAGGTAAGAACTCTGCTGCATGCCATGGAGAGCTTTCAGGCTGAGTTTCACCAGAAATGCACTCCATGAGCACTCAGGAGCACTCCAGACTTGGAAGAGTTCATCTGTCTTGCTTTTCTAACTCAATCAGATGGTCTTGGGGCTGACTGAGCACCAGATTCAGGCACAAATACACAAACTTTTGTGTATAGTCTCTTTTGTCTTAGAGGCTCAGGTTTCCTGTTCCAGGTGTAATGCTGTCTCTTTTGTCTTAGAGGCTCAGGTTTCCTGTTCCAGGTGTAATGCTAAGCCTCAGGAATGCTGTTTCGAAAGTGCTGCTAGAACTCCAGTCTTCTGGACTTCTGGCAGGACAAAAAGTGATTCTGAATTGAACACCATGTTGAGCAGTGGAGCCAAATTTGTTGCAGGTGAAACACAGAGCATGTCAGGGAAACTAAACAAAGCAAATGTTTGAACCATAAAGCTTAGAGTCACCAGTCAGCAGTCACTCAGCTGTTCTGAAAAGGTTTCCTTAATGACACTGATTAGATTATTAGAGAGGAACTTGAAAGAACCCACGTTACTGCTGAGTTTGCAGACTCCTATCAGCATAGCATTGCCAAGGTCTGCTCCCAATCCAGGCTTGCTTCCTTTACAGTAATTTCCTGTAAAGATTGTTGATAGTGGGTTCCAATGATGACATGTGCAAATCCTTTTGCCATTAGTGGGATAAGAAATTGTCATTACTTTAAGGCATAACACATAAAATAGTGGCTGTATTCATGGCCCCTAGCATTATGAAGGCACTTAACAGTTTTGTTTTATATTAATGTAATTTTAAGGTGCTTAGTTGCTCTTTGGAGTGACAGACTATGCAATACACTGCATATTTAATTGGTGAGATTTGAAATTATTCACAAATCCTAAATTCCTTCCCAAATGCTTCTTCCCACTGTTTGCACACTACATTACTTAATTGGAGCAGCACTGCTGTGGGCAAGGCTCAGTAACCGTGGCATTTCCCAAGAGTTTCATGACTTTATATCTTCCAGGCTGACATTTTCCTAGCTGAATACTCATCTGCCATACTTAGGAAGCCTGCAGTGAAGATGATGTAAGCTTTGCAGGTGCAAATCAAAGATGAATTGAATATGGCCTTTAGTTATTCCTTGTTTAGTAGAACTGACATGACTGATAAGCTGAGGAGGAAAAAAAATAGTGAAAAAATTTGAAACACATCTAAGTTTCCTTCCAGTCAGTTCCAGCACTCAAACCGGTGCTGTCTGCCCTTACAGAAACCAGCTGTAGTAGGCTGGGAAGAACTCTCATGTTGCCTAGGGCATAGCTTTGATCAAACAACCTCAGCTTGTCTCTCACAAAGCTTTCCTAATGCACCTGATATGGGATCCTGCCTGAGATAATGAATCATGGTGCATTTAAATGAAAGTAAAGGATTGATGTCAAACTCTGCCTCTAATCCAAACCAGTGCCTTGATCATTCCTCCAGTCTGCAGAGTTGGTGGGACAGCAACAGTCCCGGGCATCAGCTCATGGGCTGAGCACCCATAAATGTAGGTCACTGCCATCTGAGAGGCAGAATCAGTATTTCAGGGTGCATTGCTCCCTCTAGCTTACGAGTTTAATGGAAGAGGTAGGAGAAGTAAAATTAATTTTTAAACAGCCTGTCTGGAGGGCAAAATCATCTTAATTAAACCTCATACACTCTTCCTCCGATCCAGCAGGCAGATGGTGTGTCCCTCCTGCACTTTGAAGAGGTTAGCCTGGAAAAACTTCCAGAGAGAGCAGATCTGAGACTATCAGAGCTCCCTTTCAGACAGGTTTCCACTGCAGAGATCACTGACACTGTCTGTCTGCTGACAGACCACAGTGTTTGAAGACAAGAGGCAGAGGGACATGTTCCTGACACTGTTCTTCCAAGGTGAAATAAGGGGGGGTCATGTATTTCGGAAACTGGAAATTCTGGAATTTTAGAATTTTAGGTTTTTTCATTTTTGTGCTTCTGCTTCTGCTTATTCACCGTGTTTTGAGCACAACTGTTTACATCACGTCTTTCTCAAGAGGAGGTGCTGGTGAATGTCCCAGAACAGGGAGCTGCCACACAGCACAGGCAGTATCTATCCAGCACACACACCCACAGCACTGCTTTGCATCTGGCCTTGCCTGTGGCTCATATTTTCAGGCTTTATTCTCTGGCTGCGAAACTGAAAATAAGTTCTTTTTTATTTATTTAAAAAATAAAAAATAAAAAAAACCCCTCTCTGTATATTTCTCCTTTATTTACCTCCACAGAACTGGAATTCCCAGGGCAGGGTGAAACCCAGCTCTTAGGAGATTTGTGATAAAAAGGGTGAGAATTGGCTTTGTTGAGAAAACAGGTTAGTTCCTCTGATCTGTTCCAGATTAAGCATGTGTGCTGTTTTGGAAGCACAGCTACCAGCCTGGCTTCCCCAAAACACCACGTCCTTCTGGCCCCAGTGCAGGAGTGGGGCCGAGGCCAGCAGCAATCCCGGGTGTCCTTGGACACCTTCCTGCTGCTCTGCCTATGGCCCTGCGCCGGGGGAAGTGAGTGGGGAAGGAGGAAACATTACACCTATCTCATGCTGATGGGGTGAGGTTAAAGGCTCAGAGGCTGCAAGGGCAGCTGCATTTCAATGGAGCAAAAAACCAGCAGTGCGGTGGAGGAAAGGGAAAGCTGGGGAAGAGGGAAGCCAGGGAATGCTTCCCCTCTGGGGGCAGTAGAACTTTCTTTTGAAGACTAGAAGCAGAGCGTCTTTGAAGTCTGTTTCAAACTGAGTACATAAGAGCTCTCAGGGTGTTCACATAACAGAGATGCCTGGCAATAGTTCCAGGGATTGTGCAAGGGCTGCCATGAAGTCAACCAAGAATGAGATGAAGGAGCCACTCCCCAGCCAGAGCAGTGGGGTGGGACTGCCAGCCAGGGACATGTCCCTCACCATCTGACAGGGTTAGGTGGAGCAGCTGGAAAACCACTCTCCACAGCAGAGCCCTCATTCCCACCCCAGAAGAGCCTGCCTACAGACAGGGGAGCTGCTGCCCACCTTTAGTGAATCATTAGAGCTGAGCTCCCTTCAACCCCTTCAGCCAGTATTGTATGGGCCAAAGAAAATTTTAATATTTCTTTTTTAACTCATTTGTAGAACTTCTTTGAACCCCTGGTCCTTATGGGACACCCATATGTCTTTGGGAGCCTCTGGCCACACCAGCCATGACCATGGCAATGCCATTCTGGCCTGCTGTGGTTTCTCTGTCTGAACACCAGCATGTCCAGCATCCAGCTGGAAGACACTCATCCCAGGCCACCCACTGGGTCCAGTGATAAACATGATGGGTGTGTGGGGCACAGGGACAGCCTGCCTAGTGCTTTGCGTGTGGCATGTACTGACACGAGTACCCACAGCAGCCAGCTCCTCTTGTGTGGGTGGGACAGAAAGCAGTACATAAAGGCTCTTGATGGATTTCCAACCAGCCCACATGGATGTGAAATTACTCTTTATTTCCACAGTAATCAAGATTTATGAGAGCTATTGATGTACCTCGTGCGGATGCAGCACCTCTCCATGTTGCCAGCACAGACTTACACCCATGCATATCTTTAGGTGTGTTTCCTGGTGATTATCAATTGTGTCCTCAACACGATGGCAAGATTGGAATGTTTCTAACCTGCTGCTTGCTGCAGCCTGGGAAATATGTGGGCAAAGTTTTATGGCGTTTTTGCCTTTTCTTCACAGTTCTTCCTCTGCATCCAGTAGATGCTGCCTTGATGTGATTCTCATGGCATGCCACATGTATTGTGTAAAGAAATGTGGAAAATAGGTTTTCTTACGAGTGCTGCTGCACGTGCCACAAACAGCTGGACCTGTGAGTTACAGAACATGATGAAATGTTTCCCCACCTGTTCTTACCTAGAGATATTTCAGTTCCATTTCCCTGGTGATTCGAAACCTGTTTATTCATGCTTCAAAACTAGGTTCTACGTGTTTGGGATGGCTTGCACAATCTGTTTCCAATGCAGAGTTCAAACACTTCTGATACATTCATGAAGAAAAATGGAGCAAGGTTTTGTGCTTGCTAATGCCACACCTCGAGTAGTTTTTTCTTTAAAATGGTGATATTTTTAGGAAACAATAAATTCTGGATTGTTGTTATATTAATATTTCTGACTTAGAAGCCTTCAATATGCAGCTAATCTGAGTTCTCATATTTTCTTTGTGAATATGAGTGCTGGATACTTTCCTATTAATATGGAAAGATTTTACTCTTTCATAACTATGAGTGTGCAGGAGTTTGGCCTTTACAAAAAACATCATATCTTTGAAACTCTTTATGATAAGATAACATGACAAGATATAGCCCAACTACAAAATTTAAAAAATAACTTTGTCTTTATGCCATATAACAAAACAAAACAAGATTATTTTATCTTTTATTTTGTGTATACCTTTAAACTGAGTCAAACCAGGAAAATTTCAGTCTTCCCAGAAAAGATTTCACAAGATTTTACATGTAACTAAATAGAGGGTTGTACTATAGTACATAAATCACAGTATTTTCTACACAAAAGCTTGTTGGGTAATAGAAGATAGCTCAGCAGGCGGCTGATGACAGGAACAGGTTAAAGTTCAGATTCATTTCAAAGAACATGACACACAGGTTAAAAATAAATACTGTAAATAGTGGTTCAGTTAGAAAATATGCAGGAAAGCCTGTATAATTAAGAATGTTTTATTGAGCATTCTGGAGAAATACATGCAGTTATGCTAAAGATTGAATGGCAAATTAGATAGTGGTGAGTATCGAGTTGTATTATTATGTATTACAGGCCTTAAGCACAACTCATTGATTATTCTTGCTGCCTCCTAACTGAGGGTTTAGAGGAAAAAAGCAGCACAATGACTTTAATGACAAATTTTGTCTTTCTAATGACATGGCTGCACACATTGCTGCCTAGCCAAGGGGAGGCAGAATTGTCTCTTGAAAGTAGCATTACATTATTTCCTTTGGTTTTAATTCAAATTCCAGCCAAACTTTCTGTATGTCTTGAGAGGGTTTGCTGGCTGAATGAGCTGCCACATGTCTGAGTGGTTTAGCTTAATTTAAAAGACAGTTTGGAAGCTGTGTGAACATGTACCCATAGTGGACAATTATATAAAAATTTGCCTACAGGGGTAGCTAACTGTAACCACAGTTATTCACAGTGTGGCTTGGACTTTGGTATGTGAAGGGGTTGTTTATTGGTAATTATCATTGGTAATCACGTGGCAAAGTACAGGCTACCAGCACCACTCATGTCCTGTACAACCAAGGAGCACCTCATCAAGGACACTGGAAAACTTCGGTCTCTTCTGAGTATCACTGGGGTTTTTGGTCTGAGGGTATCCTGTGACAGGGATCTCATGTACACATGTCACAGGCCTGCATGAACATCATGCACTTCATGCTTCAGCAAAAAGGAAGTGAATTAGAACTTTGCCCCACAGTTTGTCAAGAGTTTGTCAATGTGGTCACCATTTTACCAGGTAAATAGAGAAATTCAGAGCACAAATACTGTCTTTGGGTCTTCAGTCTAAAAACCTTAATCACAGGTCAGCAGGACAGCACCTGAAGGGCAGCACAAAGAAATTCCAGACACTCCAACCAGAGAGTTGGTTTCACTGGGGACCCGACTTTGCTGCCCCTGTGCAAGTGCACACAGCAGGGGCACAAACAGGAGGAGGCAGAGACATGCACTCACCTGCAGAGCTGTGATCTTGTGTCCTGGGATGGCTGCTGTGACAGGAGTGTTGGAATGGAAGGACAGGCAGGAGAGATGAGGACAGGGTGTTATACTCTATGCCAGTGACCAGCTGGAGTGCGTGGAGCAAAGTCTGGGGGGAGAGGGGAGCCAACCGAGAGCCCGTGGGTCAGGATTAAAGGGAGGGCAGGGACAGGTGACACTGTAGTGGGGGTCTGCTACAGCTGCCAGGCCAGGAAGCACATGAGGTACTCTATGGTTGTTCCCACCTTCAGATGTCCTGGTGTTCATGGGGGACTACATCTACCCCAGTACCTGTTGGAAGGACAACACAACAGAGCATAAACAATCCAGGAGATTCCTGGAATGCATTGATGGTAACTCCTCCAAGAGATAGGGGACCCAACCAGGAGAGGTTCTATGCTGGACCTTGGTCTCACCAACAGGTAGGATCTGGTGGGGAATGCAAATCTCCAGGGCAGCCTGGGCTGCAGTGACTATGAAGTGGTGGAGTTTGAGATGCCCAAGGTGGTGATGAGTGCCATGGGAGAAAGTCCTGGAGGAAAGAGAACCCTGAGAAAGTGGTTAATATTCAAAGGTCACTTCCTCCAAACTCAGGAGCAATGTAAAGAGGAAGTCAGCAGGACTGGGAGAATGAAGAACTGCCCAGTTTTGGAGAAAATCAGGTTTCAGACCATCTAAGGAACCTGAAGGTGCACAAGTCCATGGAACCTGATGAGATCCATCTGTGGATCCTGAGGTGGAGGAAGTGGGTAAGCCAATATACATCATATTGGAGAAATTGTGGTGGTCCAGTGAAATCACCACCGACTAAAAAAGGGGAAACATAACTCTCATTTTTAAAAAAGGAAAAAAGAAAGTTGTCAGGAACTACAGATTAGTCAGTCTCATTTTGATGCCCTGGGAGTGTTCAAGGCCCAGTTGGATGCAGCCCTGAGAAACCTGATCTAGTGGAAGGTGTCCCTGCCCATGGCAGGAGTGTTGGAACAAGATGATCTATAAGGTCCCTTCAAAACCAGATCATTCTATGAATAATATTAGGACTAAACTGAAATACGGTGATGAAATGTGCAAGATGGTTACTTTACCCTGCCCAAACATAAAAAGAAGGATTTATTAGACATTTGCTAAAAATGATTGACAGTCAGTATCTGTATCTGCTTGAATACAATTTTAATCTGTGATCTTTGATGTTTTCATATTTGCTATGAGAAGAGGCTATGATTAGTTAATCCAAGAGCTACAGAGTTCCCTGTCATTGCAGGAGGTATGATATGTCACTTTTTAAGTTTTAAAACAAAACAGTTTTCGGCAGAGGCCTCCCAGACCGTGGGTTTGCAAGCTGTGCTTGGGAAACAACACCTCTCAAGCCATTGCTCAAGCCAATGAGAACCTGCTTGTTCAAGGTGTGCCTTATACACACCCTGTTCTGCTATATAATTCATGGTAATTATATGCTCACTGAAAACACAGAACAAAACCAGAACTGGGAACAAACAGACAGTCTGGGAAAAAAAAAAAATCTTTGGTCTGTAACAATTTTTAAATAGATGCCATTTATTTGCTCCTGCAAAAGCTGTCATCACAGCAGAGCAGGACTCTGGCTTCTTGCTTGCAACTAGCCTTACCTTTGCCAAACTTTCCTGACAGTGAGCATGCTGTGAAGTCCCACAGGAATAACTAACTCTCCCAAGCTGGCATTGACACAGGTATATTTTTTTCCTTCCCTAGATGCTGTGGAACAAGCAGGGGAAGGAGGCTTGAACAGCTGCCAGACACAGTGGAGCAGGGCTTGCCCTCTCCTTGCACAGGTATAAAGGGACTCCAGTTTGAAGGGTAGGACTGGTGACCTCTGCTTCCTCTAAAACAAAAAGCCAAGGTGCCAGACTGGGGAGGACAAAGCAGCAGGCCCTCAGTGGCAGCAGGGATCTCAACTGCTAGTGGGTGTCATTAATGTAGGGCTGCACACCCTCCTTGCATGGGACCATAAACCTGAACTTTATGCAGTTGCCAGAGTCTCTTATTGCTCCCATAGCAAAGTATAATTTTGCTTTGAACTGCTGAGTTTGGTTTAATTTCTCAGGAGTTTGTTTGCTTCCTGAGGAGAAAAAGTATGTCCTAGTTAGAAGTGCACAGGCTATTTAATTCACTGCAATACCATATTTTTAACAATTAGTTCCTGCTAATTATTTAATTACTGTGGTAGTAGTGTAGCTATGAATAGATGTTATGTTATATTGCTGAGTGTGGTGACAGAATTAAAGCCACGTGAAATGAGATACTCCCCACAGACTCTCCCATGCTCCCCACAGTTGTTACTACTGTAAGAAAAGATGCAAAATGCCAGCCCTTTCCAAAGTTTTATATGTATATATATATGTAAACTAAAAAAAAAAAACTCACAAAACAACAAAACTTTCCTATAAAGAAAAACATCAAACCAATCACCAGATATTTTAGAAATGAAAATAAGAAATGGTCATTAGTGGGTGGCAATATTTGCAACAGTGAGAGTATAGACACAATATGGCAGAAAGAGCTCTAGGTGTCACAGAGCATTTCTTTTCAGGTGAAGACTACACTTGGTGAAGTTTGCCTGATAGGATAAAAATGTAGGACTATAACAGACAAATAAAAAGCTCTATGGTCTAAACCATGGTTTGAAAATTGGGGGATGTAGAAGAAATTTGAATAGCTGAGTTTCATCATCTTCCTGTTAAATTGGTGGTGAATGCTGAATAATTTCAAGGGAAGAAGAAATAACTCCATTATTAGAGAAATTTAATAGTGTCACTGAAGATCACAAATTTTAATGGAGTAAGACATTTAAATGGCATTTTACTATAGACACCTATATGTAAATTAACTCACATATCCAATGCTACATGTATCTTCAAATCTGGAGCTATTTAAATAATGCATAACGATAGTTGATGCCGAATCATTTAAAGTTGATTTACCTGCTTGTCTTATTTTGAAATTTTAATTACATTATGACAGAAAACTCAGTGCTGTGATACAAAGTAGAAGGCTTTGAAGACCAAAAATAAGAACACTAACATAATGTGGATTGTTAATCAGAAGAAAACAAACAATAATAGATTTTAACTATAAATACTTTAAAAAGAATTAAGGTTGCATATGGTCTATCACCATGATAATGAAGGCAACTCTTATGCAAAACAATGTTTTTTCTGAAGATCTACTGGATATTTTAAATAAAAACAAACAACCCCAAATCAAACAGGAAAAAACATGTCAGGCAAACAAACAAACAAACAAACAAAAGTACATCTTTCATGTATCAAAGAAAAGCTTGAAAATTTGATGTGAGTGTAGGATCAAACTGTAAATGCAATGAATCCTTGTCTTTATAAGTGCAAGCATTAGAAGATTGGTCTTCTGGTATCGTAAGCCTATCCCATAAGTGTTGATTAATTTTCGCTAGAGTGAAAGCAGAAATGCTTATCTGTGGAGCACAAAACACAGTTGTGTGAGTAAGGATAGTAGAATCCAGCCCGAATGAATCAGACAAATAACCACAATTATGTTAACTAGGTGCCTAGGGCATTACCTTAATGTGCACAAAACTCGGAGAGATGTTGAGCTCTTGATGAACCAGCTACTCTTATCAGGAACCTGGATACTCCTTGATGCTAAGGATTAAATCCTCCCTGGATGGGTAAACTGCAGGAAAACACTAAAATCAAGACATCCAGAATAGTGTATGGAGACACCTCAGCACCAAGAAACAGCACTTAGCACTAGGTGGTGCTCTTTTCTCTACTATAATATTATTCAGTGGTTGTGAGGGAGGTTTTTTGCATTACATTGCCACATTTGTTACAGCAGGACTTCACTCAAAGAACAGAAAACGCAGAAGAAAAAGCATGAAGAAAACGAGAATTCTTTCTTGTGTTCATTAGTCATTGTCCATGGGCCTAGAGATACAAATAAGGTCACAGTACACTTCTGAATGGACCCTGCAGTTGGTCCTGGTCCTTTAATGCCAGGGCTATTTGCAGTGTCCCAGCAGTGAGGGATTTCTTACTTTCATAAAGAGATTTTCTTGGATATGTACATAGATCACTGTAATGAACTTCATTCCTGAGATCTCCTATGTTCCCTTCAATCACAACCTGTTCCTCTGTAAGTCATTCTTCCTTCATTCCCTCCAGGTATTTCTGTTCTTTAGTTATGTGCTCTGTGGCTATTATGTAACCAGGGACACATACAGAGACACACACAGACACACACACAGACAGAGAGAGTTAATTTAAGTCTTTTCCTTGTACCATTCTATCACATATTACAGGTCTTCCTCATTCCTCCTATTTTTCTATAAACAACCTTAATTTCATTAATGCTTTGATTATCTGAGTCTCGGAAAAATACTTGCTAAGATCTACATTTTCCGTGAAAAGCCAGACAATGAGATAATAACTTTAATAGGTATGGAAATATCTAGAATTATCTAGATATCTAACTATCTAGAATATCCTAATACAGAATGACTCCGTGATAAAAAGTGTTAAATGAAATTCAGAGCACAAACAGGATAAAATGGTCTTTCATTTTAAATGGAAAACAAAACAAAGAAAGATTTCACTATTAGCATACAGGAAGAAGATATTAGATGGTGAATAACAAATGCCTGCTCAGTGCTGGTCAAGCAGACAAACATAGCCTCAGGACTTGCAAACAAAATGGAAAAAACAGAGAACATCCTTGTGCTAGGGTAAGAATCCATGGTGCAGCCTTACATGGAGTAAAGTTCCAGACCAGTCTCCTGATTTCAGGCAGGAGGAAACAGAATTGGAAGAATGCAGAAAAGGGCAGTAGAAGTACTCAGAGATGGTGTGAGCAGAATCAAATTGATTTAGAGCTTTCAGCTGGAAAAAGAGACAGCTGAAATCGCATCTATGATTTCTATCTAGACAGTAACGTCTAGTTTGATGTTCACTCTTCCTTTTAGTGGCTCCCCTGAAATAAAAGAATACCTGTTTTTATTCACTTTTGGAGAGTGAGCTCCTTTGGTGCTATCCTAAACAATTATCAAACTTATACTGTAGTAACAGAATTTTCTGTCTCCCTCTTTCTATATTTTCCTGATCCTCAGTGAATAGTTTGTTAAAGCCAGTTCCTTTTTGTTCTTTATAACTCCTTTTCAACTCCACCATGCTAGTTTCTGGCCCTCTTTGAGAGTGGCACCACTTAGGGCCTAACCCATCAGAGCATTAGGAAGCGTTCTGCAGGTGCTACTGCTGCCCAATGCCCATGATGGCTCTGGGGTAGCTGCGTGGGTGCTGGCCATTTGCCCTGGCTGAGCCACAGGGCTCCAGCAAAGCCAGGACAGTGCCCCACACTCCCAGCACAACATAAACACAGATGGGGCAGGCAGAACCAGGCAGTCAAAGCCTGAGAACTTTTTAGGGAGAGCACGTGTACCTGGCCTCTTCCTCTGGTCCAGTCTCCTAAACTCACAGACATTGGAACTGCCTGTTCCTTTTATTATCTGTTAATAGAAGCATTGTTCACAAATCTTGTCTAATCCCTTTTTATGCCTGCTAATAGCCTGCTTTCCCAACCTCCTGTGGCAACGAATTCCGGAAGTTCATTAACCAATGTGCAAAGAAGTGCTCTTTCATTTCAGAAGCAACTATATCTATGCTCCCAGCCCATAAATATAAATTTAAAGAAAATTCAGTCTATCACTGTTGTGAGTATCATCTTTTGGCCTGTTTGCAGGGGATATACACACAGAGAGTGGTATGAAAATGAATTAAAATAAATATTAATGCAAATATCAGCTTCTTGCATTTTTTCCAGGGGAAGGTGAGGAATTGTTGTTTAACCATTGCTACTACCTGGAAAAGTGCATGCCTCTTCTCCACCTAAGTGTAAGCCTAGCCCTGAGATGGAAGCATGTCCTTCCTCACAGGAAGGGAAGGCAAGGCTTGGCTCTGCACTGCCATGGTACAGCACGTGGTCCTTCTGCAAACCTTGTTTGGGAACTTCTGCTTCTCACATCTCCCAGTTTGTTATACCATCATTTCAACTAACCTTGTTTCTCACAAGTCTGTGTGACAGTGCCAAGCCAGGCTGCACACAGAGAGAGTAACCTGTGCCATGCTTAATCTACAGCTGTCATCCCTTAATTTATAAATTCCATGATGCTATCAAAATAAAGACTCTCAGTTTTGTCTTGCAATATCTATTCTTTACCTGCCCAACCCTCTGTTGTTCAGGTAACTCTCCACCCACTTGCTCTTCCCCAGGCTCCTATGTTCCCTGTGGCTTGTGGTCCAAGTATTGTTTAGGTAATTAGTCATGTCTTCACCCACCTTCCATCCTTCTTTTTTTGTTATTACTATTTATTGGTTTTATTGTGGTAAGGCCTAAGGATGCCAATTAGGAAAAGGGATTTTGTAAAAAATTGTACAAGTTCTAAGCTGAAGAACTCACCATCTGGTTCTTAGGCACTCCATGGGTATATATAGAGAAGTATATAGAGGTATATAGAGAAGTGGGAGGGAGTCTGGGAGCACAGTACAGTGGGATAAGATGTTTACACAGTGTAATAATAGAGCTGGCTAGCAACTGACCTCTGCTAGTAGTCATCAGTAGGTTCTGTAGGGACACAGAAACTTTCCCAGCCTCATTGGAAGCCCTTTCATCTGGATATTTTACCAGAGATGGGTAACTTAACATTGATTTCATCTGGAATGTGCTAGGGATTGATGCTTGTCATTTAAATATGTAAAGTAATTGTTTTTCTGTTTTTTCCAGGGCAGATTTGCAAGGCTGCCCAGAGGAGTCTGCCCTGTGACCGCTAATGCTGTGCTCACCATACAAACACAGGATTGACATCATTCAGTACCTTCCAGAAGGCTGAACAAAAGGTTGAAATCATGGTGGTGAAGAGGGAAATGGGAAGGACAGAGGAAGGATGAGGATACTATTAGGAAGAACATAATGAAAAATCCATCATGTTGGTTAACTGTATCCTTAAAGCAAAATATATGTTGTGCAACTGTGACACATTCAAGTCTGAACAGCTGGTTTTGGTGAGAGGCAGCAGAAATTAATTTCCCGTGCAGTTTTTGTATTAATAATTCATCTCATTAAGGTGTGGTCTAATAGTGTTTGCACAGGCACAGGACTCAGCCCTAATATTGTTTTTGACAGCTATCTCTTCTACAGGCATCTGCAATTCATATGTCCTTGCCTCAATTTCTCTGTACAAGAAAGGGAAAGAACTGTGTAAGCTTTGGTTAAGATCTGTAAAGTAGCTGGCTACTACACTGTTACTACTCTTTAATCTTTTGCAACAACATGAAGACAGCATAACATTCAGGTATCCTGATCACATTGGGTTTATTTCAAAGCATCAGTGAATCAGGCCCAAGGGCCAGGTTTAGAAGCACAAGATTCTGACCCACAGGATCAAGTCCCTTGCAAAAAACTACAGGAGCTGGCTAACCCTGGGTGATATTTAACAACCCAAAGACCCAGTAAGGTCTTGTCCTGCTAAGACTTATTTTATTATTCATACTGTGCTGGATTTTAATAGTATTATTATAAATGATTGAACTAAATTACATTATTGTAAAGACTGCTTTCTGGTCTTTTTTCCCCCTCATCTCCATTATTTAGATTCTTCCTTTAATATATGAAAGGACTTCCAGTTGTCAGTGTGAACTTTCAAGATTTTACTGCAAAACAGGTGATCCTAATTTTCAGTTAACCAACAAATCCTCAAAACACAGTGACATAAAAAGCATATTCATTCTTAGTGATATCCACTGGTTTGAATCATGAATCTGTTTAAGATCATATAGTGGAGGTTTTCCCCAGAGATGTGTTTTAGCCCTGTACATTTTCATGTGCTTTCTTCTCGTCTAGCAGTACTGGTGCAGTGGGGATCTAATGTGTATTTGTGCATTATGGGATACAATACAATATGTATGTTTATATCAGAATATATATGACTCTGATATGACCATCTTAGTACAGACAGAAGTTATATTAGTACAGATTACAGCATTCCTCAGGCCCAGAAGATAAATAATTGTATGGGTAAAAGCATATTTTTGTTGTATAACACAACCACTCTGTCCTGCCAGGAGCAGAGGAAATGATACTGCTTTGTTAACAACAATATAGTTAACACAGTAAAAATTATATGAGTAAAAAGCATTAGTACATAATGAAATTATTTCTTTCTTTCTTCATCAAATATTGTGGTTCTCTTTCCACTGAATCCTCTGCTCAGCTCCAGATATGATAATTTTATCTTATGTTTCTTTTATTGTATTTTCTCCTGTACAGTTCATTCATTTTCTGGAAGGTAGATGGAAAACACCAACCTCCTTTCTTCTTGCTTCAGAGGTGCCTCATGCTGCTTTTCCTCTTATGCTGATCAGCTCCAGAAATAACCCTGCAGAGCCATTGCTTGGCTTTGATTAGAGAAATCCTTCTTCCTTCTCCACCCTGTCCTTTCTGGTTTCTCTACCTTCTCTCCACAGACACCAGACTAAACCAGTCTGTTTCCTTTCCTTATCTGGTGTTATTCTAATCACATAAACATCACCTTGCACTCCCTTCTTCCTTCTCAACTTTGAGATTACTTCCCCCCATCCTGTCATGAGCCCAGTGATAATTTCCTTCAGCAGTTTGCTTTCTTATCCTCAGTTATTGGAAGCAAAGGCTCCCCTGTTGCATATTTTTAGCCCACAAGTTAAGAGTGGTTCAACACTTTCCTTTACTCATTGTTATTTAACCAAAAGTCTTAGTGATGGGAAGAAAATAGAAGGTATTTTAAATGTCTTTTGTAGGCTTGACTGGTTTCCAAGACCTGCAGCTTAAAATGAGAAGCCAGTCAGAGAAGAAAAAACTTCTTTCAGAAAGTTCTTAAAAATCAAGTTGTAACAGTTTTTAGAAATTTCATTTTGTTTGTAGCAAAGACCCCTCAAAAGATGACAATGGAAAAGCCTAAGGCTCATGTAAGCCCAAGGCACCAAGCAGAAAATACAAACAGAAGTTTCATTTTGCCAAGTAGAAAGCTGGAAGCGCTGTATACATTAATGTTGAAGAGTTTAGTGGTTATGAGAGAAAATGGAGTGATTATTGCTGATGTGTGAATGTTGCTGACATAATTTCCATCACCAACAGCTCATGAAATCCAGTTGCACAGGAGTCCAATTACCTTTCCTGTATCAGAAGATACTGGAGCACAGAGAGTTAGTGGGTCACACAGTTCATAGAAAGACACGGACAAGCAAAAAGCTATAGCGAAAATCTTATAGACTTGTATGAGCCAAAATATCCCCATTTTTCAAACTATTGTATGAATAAATATGATATCAATTTTGCTCATTATATTGTATACATTATGTCCTGTTTGCCTAATGTTGAGGCTTCATGGTGTGTCAAAAATGACTGAATAAATTGTGGCTTGTATGTGGCAAAGAAGAGTTTATTTTGTATATGAATTCAAGAAAAAAAATAGTCACTAATGAGATTACGTACTAGCTGATTATTTTGTGTGTGTGAATTTGATAAAACAGCATGAACTAGACAGATGATGTGTAATGTCCTTCAATATTGTTCTTTTATAGCACTTGAAGATTTCATATTCCACTCTCTGTATCTGAAAGAATCTCTGCTTCTCATAATGGTGGGCAGATACCCAGGTCAGGTGCTTAAAAAAAGCAATTTGTCAACTGTTTTGTTGACAAAACCTAAGGATTTTTCTTGAAGCCTTCTACCAGTCATGGTGCAATTAATCTATTTGACACAGATTAGTCAGAAATCAGTGATATATATATTATATATATATATATATATAATGTATTATGTATTATATATCATATATTATTGCCTATCTCGATGAAACCAAGTCACCTCCATTTCTCAGCAGAATCTCTTCTTCAAATTCAATGAAATGTTCAGCAGGTCAAATAAATAATCAATTAACAAGTCAAATCATTTATTAAATTGGCTTATTTAGCACCGGTAAGTTATCAGTTAAAAGATTCCAAGTGGGGTCTCTTCCATATTAAATGTTCTATTTCACTCAGATAATTTCAAAACCAACTGGTACAGCATAGGCACAGCTGATACAACTTGTCTGCAAACATACACAGGTCGAAGCACAGGGCTCTGACTCCTAAGTGGGGTCTGCTTGGCTCATTCAGGTTGTGTGCAGCTCAGTGACTTTAGGCAGCTTCTGAGGCTTACAGGAGCTCTGTGGGCAGCTTGACCATCTGTGCGGGGTGTGCTGTGTGTGTCGGGCAGAGCACTTACCCTTCCAAACACAAGATTTTGTTTGGTTTCCCAGTGAATGAAGCTCATGGTGCTGAGTCATATGGCAGAAGAATGGAGGCAGTGAAAGTGTGACAGCCGTCACCCGGGACGGCTGCCAGGGAGGGATGAGGGGTGTTCCCGGCAGCCCTGTAAGCTCCGAGCAGGGACCAGAGCTGTAAACTCCCTCCCTGCCCCCAGCCTTGCGGATTGTTCCCCTTCTCTCCGCAGCTGACCAGGGAGTGACCAGAGGTGGTTGGTACCTGTGGTGGTGTAGCCATGAGGACAGGAGACCTTTAGGAAAGGACCTCATTCATTAGCTGTGAGATTGGACAAATGTGTAAACTTTACAATGTAGCTAATACAGCTTTATATAAACAAGAAAATGGTAATTTAGCCACGTACTTAGAGAATTAAAAAAAGGGAGATATTGTGACCTTAATTATTCAAGTTAAACCTTCAAGGAAATGAATAGGATGGTGGAGGGCACAGGTCATTCACATTATAAGAAATGAAAAGCAGATTTGATTTAAGTTTCCTGGTGCAGCCAAGTTAACAGTATAGCACTCTGCTTGTTTACATTGGACAAGTTGGAAAAAGCCAAAATACAAGCTCGTTTTGAAAGAAGGGTTGAATGTTTTCTGGAAATGGCAACACAGAAATATCCTGCATAGAAACAGGACCTATGTATTTTTCCTGCTTTACATCTCAATGGACACAAACCGGGCAATTTGCATGAAACATGGTAAGAAGCTAAATGTCACTTGCTGTGTCAGTTTCAGACGAGTCTGGAATTGGAGTGAAATATCCAAGAAAGAAAATATGTGGGTAAAACTGTAGGACTGAAATAATTATAATTTAGAATAGAATAGTTTTACTATAGCACAAAAATTGTTTAATATCAATGTGGATAAAAAGAAAAATCTCTGTCATTAAGGTCTGAAATCTGAGGATACCAACCCATTTCTATACATGACATTAAGCACAGGAGAGCTTCTGCCAGACCTTTTGATCTGCTATTCTTTTTCAGTATGGAATAGAGAGAGGGTTGGATGAACACAAGCTGAAGTAAATGTCTAATAGCCACACAACAGCCAGAAAAGAAATGGCCCTGGAAAGGTCTAGAGTATGATTCTGAGTCTGAGCATCCTGCAGCTGCTACTCCCTGCTGGGTTTTCAGCACAGCTCACGTGGCAAACCAGAGACACTGACTTAGCAGGATTTTATGGGCATGGGCAATGTGATGTGGATGAGCTTTGCTGGACTGTGGCCCATCCAGCAAAAGATGCTGTGTGGAGCAAATGCAGGAAGATACTGCCAAGGTGTAAATTTGGCTTGAGTATTCTTATTACATTAACCTTGTAACTGTTCCAGATGAAACAAAATGCATTGGATACTTTTGGATAAGATTTGGATTTGTAAATCTGGTGCACATAAATTTTCAGAACCTAATTATGCCATAGGACTCCACTCACTGTGGGTGGGCTGCAGGTATTTTTACCGAGCTCAGTATAATACCCACAGATGCATGACAAAGTCTTGAGTGTTCAGTCCCCTCTAGATGGAAATGCCCTGAACTACGAAACTCCTCTCACTTTCATTTTGAGGTTGTTTGGTATGAATGCCAACATAATTCACCTGTAGGAGCTTTATCTGCTATCTTGCCCACCCCACAAAATATCATGGCAAAAGGAAAAACAAGGCAGCTGGCCTATGGCATCAAATACAGAATAATGAGCTGAGAAGCCCATAATGAGGGAAATGTAATCTTTGTTCTGCCTGTACCAGATTCCCTAAATGATTTCATACTGAACTATCTGTGTCTCCATTTTTCTCCCTTTTGGATAAATATTATCTCAGTGTACCTCAGCAATATGCTATGTAGCTAAAGTTCCCCATATTTCCAAATGCTGTTGGGGATTTGAATGCTGGTGCTGTGTAATTCAGAAGGAAAGAGACCATCATTTTGATAGCAACTTCCAGGTGGGCCATTTTCTAGAAACAATCTAATTTCTAGGTACAGAGAAGAAAGTAACTGTGAGAAACATGCAGAGCAACAATAGCACAGTGGATTCCTGCTGAGAAAGAGAGACTTTTGAAAGATTCAGGGCTATGGCTAGAGGCCCCATCTGGCTGGGACACCTCACCTGCCCATCTTTGACAGGGGCTGGGGCCTGGGAGTGATCAACCTTCACTATCAGAAGCAAAACAACCAGAACTGCAAGGTTTTTAGCGTATCATTACAAATTCAAAGCCGGGCCTATTCTGATGGAAAATCTTCCTTAGGAATGTGAATTGTTTTGGGCAAAATAATCAGGCTTCTTTCCTGGCAGAGATTACTATTTGCATCAAAAATTAGTGTCATCCACCCACTCAGTTTCCAGCTCAAAGCCAGGCATTTCATTAGCGAAGTGAGAACAGAGATGCCTTGCTGGAGGAGCTTCGCCAAGCAAACCTGCCAGTATCGCCAGAAAGGTGGGAGAACTGTGTGCTCCTGTGGGCACGAGGGTCGCGAGGATCACCCAGGGACAGAAGAGGAACGAGGACATCTCACTCCCGTCTGGGAAAGGGAAATATGTGCAAAGGCAAACAAGCCAGCCCAGACAGCGGGATGAGCCCCTTTCCTAGGAAGGAGGCCTTGGAAGCTGCGTGCAGAGCCCTTGTGGGTTGCGTGTGCAAGCGCCGTGCGTGTTGATAGCGTGAGTGGAGCTGTGTGTGGGGACAAGCCGTGCGTGTGGAGCCCTGTGTGTGCCCGTGTGGGCCGCGGGAAAGGCACGTGTGGGCCGCGGGAAAGGCCCGGGTGGGCCGGGGGAAAGGCCCGGGTGGGCCGCGGGAAAGGCCCGGGTGGGCCGGGGGAAAGGCCCGGGTGGGCCGGGGGAAAGGCCCGTGTGGGCCGGG